GCTCTCACTGCAGATGTGGCTCTGTGGAGGAGACAGATTTTCATCGATATCCAGGAGAACTTTGCTCTGGGGCCTTGATCGAGGAGGGCCAAGGACCAAGGTGGGAGAGGAAATGCCTCTGGGCCTGGGGAGGATGGCCAAGGGCTCCTCCACTACCCCACCTCAGCCACACACAAAGATGGTCATGACCTGGATCCTGCCATCACCCACAAGTGCACTTCCACGTACAAGAATTCTGAAATCCCCTTATCTGACTGGAAAATAGACTTGGAAAGCCAAGTCTATTGGTTTTCCACCTCTCCCTCTTGCCTTCCCTTAGCAGATTCTGTTCTTTGTCAGGACCTCCAGTGGCATCCAGTCCCTCTCAGGTCTCTGCCAGGACATCTCCCCCCTGCACTAGCCACGCTCTCCTCTTCTCCTCATCTTGACTCCTTAGTGAACCAGTTCAACTGTTCGTTGTCCTGCTCCATGGAATGGCTGTCCCCCTTATCACATCACTGATTATGCCCTTGCCAGGCCTCAGCCTTGGATCACTCCCACCATCATCCGCCTTCACTCCTCCACACATGGGTTGCAGAAGGAAGGTGGGGAGCAATCACACACCCGTTCTCTGCCTGGGTCCCCTACCAATTTATGTCATACCACCTCACCTGCTTCCTCACCGCCGCTAAGCCATCCCACTGTACCTCCCTTAGCAACTCCTGCTCCCCGTCTCCTCCACCGTGGCTCTTCCAAACCTTCTCATCTGTCCTCTAGCCTCCTATGCCCTGTGCGTACCCCCCCCCCCCCCCCCGACCCTGCCCCTGCTCTCTCAGCTGAGACCTTGGACTCCTACTTGACAGATAGAATTGAGGCCATTTGCTGTGAACTCCCTCATCTCCCACTCTTCCTTATCTCCTGTCACTCAGATGCCTTCTGCCGCTCTCTCCTCCATCACCCGTGCTTCATGTGGGAAGGCCTGGCCTTACTCCTACCAAGGCTAACACTGCTGCTTGTTTAAGTGATCCCCTTCCATCCCGGCTCCTCCACCAGATCGGCCCTCTGGCATCCCCACTCTCTCACTTACCTTCCATCTCTCCCTCTCTACTAGCTCCTTCCCCACTGCCCACACACACGGTCATGTCTCCCCCATCCTGAAAAGGCACCTCCCTTGAGCCTTCCATCCCCACTCACTATAGCACACTATGTCTCTTCTGCCCTTCGTGGCCAGTCTCCCAGAGAAGGCTGTCTAGGAGAGGGGCCTCCACCTCCTCCCTTCTCACTCACTTCCTAACCCCTCACAATCTGCCTTCTTACCTCATCATTCCACAGAAACTTCTCTCTCCAGAGTTACCCATGATTTCTTAATACCCAATCCAACAAACATTTATTAAGCACCCACATCATGCCACGCACTGTGCTAAGTACTTGAGATACAATTCATGAACAGAAAGACAGTCCCTACCCTCAAGGGGCTTACAATCTAGAGGTGGAAAGAACACACACACCAAAGGGAGTTGGGAAGGGGCGGGCAGGGGGAACGGGGAAGGGACAGCATCTTGTTCTGGGAGTTGAAACCAGGCAGAGCGACAGGCGCAAAGAGGAGTGGTCTGAGCGTCCCGTTTCTACCCTCTGTAGGGGAAGACATTGCGGGGAGTTTGCTATTCAACTCACAGCAGTGCCTGGTTTCCAATCCAATGGCCTTTCCTCTGTGGTCATTCTCCTCAATCTTGCTGCAACCTTTAACACTGCCTGTCACCCCCTTCTCTTTGAGACTCTCTTCTCTGCAAGGTTTTGGGGCACCACTCCCTCCTGGTTCTCCTCCTACCTATCAGCCCACTCCTTCCCAGTCTCCTTTGCTGGATCCTCCTCCAGCACTAACTACAGGTGTCCCAGAGGGTTCTATCCTTGGCCCCTTTCTCTTCTCCAAATACTCACTTGCTGATCTCATCTGCACTCAGGGATTTAATATTCAGCCCTATGCTGATCATTCTCAAATCTGCCTGTCCTGTCCTAACCCCTGGGCCAACTTCCAATCTCCCACCTCCAACTGCCTTTCAGATATCTCGAACCTGATATCCAATAGACATCTCAAACTCAAGAGGCCCCAGACGGAACTGGTTGCCCTACACCCTCCCTCCCTCCCGCCCTTTGACCTCCCCTATTGCTGCTGAGGGTAACACTATCGTCCCAGTCCTTCAGGTTCCCCGCCTAACTGTCATACTCCACCACTCACTATCTCTCACCCCCCCACCCCAATGTACAGTCTCTTGCCAAGGCCCGTCCATTTCACCTTTGCACCGTCTCTGCAATTGGGCCCCCTTCTCTCCTCTGACATTGCTGCCACTCTGGTGCGGGCCCTCATCACCTCGGCTGGACTATTGCAATAGCTGCTAGGGGAAGAGGTCTACCTGCCCCAAAGTGTTCTGCCCGTGTTACCCGGGTCCCCACCTTACACAATAAACCCCAATTGCTCCCAATGGCCTCCAGGATCCATGACAAAAGCTTTTGTTTGGCATTCAAAGCCCTCCTGATAGAGGCTCCCTAAAACCCCCCAAACGCCTTCCAGTCTTCTTATGCTTCCTTCCCCACCTTGTTCTCTTCTATCCAGTGACACTGGCCTCCTTCCTGTTCCACCCACAGCACCCTTCATCTCTCAGCTCTAGACAGTTCCTCAGGCTGCCCCCCTTGCCTGGAACGCTCTCCCTCCTCCCCTCTGCCCACCGACTTCCCTTAAGTCCCTGCTCCGAGCCAACCTTCTGCAGGAAGCCTTTCCCAATCCCTCTGAATTCCAGTCCTTCCCTCTTGCCATTATCCCTATTTGTCCTGTCCACAGCTTGTTTGTAGATATTTGTTTGCTGGTTGCTTCTTTCCCATTGGATTGTGAGCTCCTTGAGGGCAGGGACTGCATTTTGCTTCTTTCTGCATGTGCCTGGCACTTGGTGGGGGTTTCAAAAATATTTGTTAGCCAGCTGAGTGACTAACTGCCTTCCTTAATGAATCTCAGTCTGGTGAGAAGGACCGAGGCCAAAATGACATGAGATACTTTTGGGATCCCAGTTTAGGGCAAAAGACCGGAAAGCCAGACAGAGAATCAGGTCCTCTCAGGCCACTGTAGGCACGGATCTGTGGAGGACACAGTTTCCTACTGTGAGCCAGGTGGCTTTAGATTTGGGACTGGATCCAGCAAGGCCAAAGATACCATTCTGGGAAGAGACACTTTATTGAATCTCAGTCTGGGCAAGATGGCCAAGGGCAGCGTCTGGAATCCAGACTGGGACAGAGGTCCCCTAGCAGATTTCCTTCCATGGTAGAATGGCCAAAGTCAGTGTCTGCATAGACAGGACTCCAAGGGCTCTCTCGGTCCAGAGGAGAACAGCCAGGGTCAGCACGTGAGAGAAGGGGCCTCGGGGGATCTGGATATTTGGAGAATGGCCAAAGTCACTGTGGGAAGAGGTGGGCTCAGGGAAGAATGACCAAGGTCAGTGTTGGGAAAGAAGCACACATAAGCAAATCCCAATGGGGGGAAATGTCCAAGGTCAGTGTTGAGGAAGGGGCCCCTACCAGGGGACCCAGGCCTAGGGACAATGGCCAAGGTCACGGCTAGGTAAGAGACTGGACAAGAGTACCCACGAGGACCTCTGGGTGTGGGGAGAACGTCAAGGTCAGTGTCGGGGAAGAGGCCCCACCGAGGACGAGGGCCTGGGGCCAATGGCCAAGGTCAGGGCTGGCCAGAAGGAGGTCTGGGACAATAACGGTCAAGGTCAGCGTGGGAGAAGAGGCGCCCCCCGCCAAGGTCAGGGCCCTGCAAGAGGCTCCTGGGGAGTTACCTGGGCACTCATGGGTTTCTGGTGCTCTCGCTGAGGGAAGAGGGAGGAAGAGGAGCCCGCAGGAGGCCCTGAAAAGAGGCCCCGATGGCCACAGCCAGGCCCCGCAGGCCAGCCCCGCAGCCAGGCCCCACTGGCAGGCCCCGCTGGCAGGCCCCGCTGGCAGGCCCCGCAGGGTCCAGGAGGGAAGGCCCAGGTCCTCCAGTCTCCTCTAGCCCTGGTTCCTCTCTGGGTCTCTGTGGCCTCTAACCCTCAATGACCTGGGGGTGGGTGGGTGGGGGAGGTGGGGCCCAGCACCTTGAGGCACTTGGCAAGCACACCCCTCTCCCAGGCTGGGCTCCGCCCCCATCTGCTTCCTGCCTCCACATGGCAGAGTGCGCCCCCTGGTGTGCGGGAGTAGCCTGGCAGGTCACTCTGCTGCTGGGCAGAGAGAGCATGGTAGGCAGACTCGAAGGCACTGAGAAGGAAGGGCAGCTACGTGGTGCAGGGGCTGGGGGCGGGGCATGCAATCACGAAGACTCGTCTTCCTGAGTTCAAATCTGGCGGTGGGACCCTGGGCAAGTCACCGCACCCTGGTTGCCCTCGCTTTCCTCCTCTGCAAAATGAACTGCAGAAGGAAATGGCAAACCAGTCCAGCATCTCTGCCAAGAAAGTCAAACGACTGAAACGACTGAAACGACTCAGCAACAGAGGGAGACAGGAGGGGATGCAGGAGAGGGAGAAGGAGTGGACACCAGGAAGAGAGGAGAACAGGCGGGAGGAGGAGAGGGCAGGGGAGGGCACGATACTGTGCACTTCTCAGGACCAAGCTTGGCCCGAGAGAAGATGGCAGAAAATGCCCCTCCCTGCCTCCTCGGCAGAAGGGAGGAGTCGGGGGGGGCACACACAGTCAGGAGTTGCGGGGGGTCGGCTGAACATTTGGAGCTGCTATTTGTAATTCTTCCCCTCCCTCCTTTTTGCTCTTTGTGACAAGCGGTGATCCTCTGGGCAGCTAAGGGAAGGGGCCCGGGCAGGGACGAGGGACACAGTCTTGCAGGAAGAGGATGAGAGAGAGCACCTCTCTAGGGCTCTAGCAAGAGTCGCAAAACCACGCAAAACAGAAGGCATTTCAGACCCTTTGTCTGTAAGGGACTGCCTGGCAAACGCATGTTTGTTTGTGAGTGTTTTGCAGGTCAGGGTTCTTTTGTGTGGACCATGGCGGGGAATGAGCCAAAGAGGGAGAGGAAAAGGGTCTGTGCCCTCTTCTCTTCTGATCCCGTGCTGAGGATGTGCATGGTCCAGAGCAGAGGGACTCAGAAGGCGCAGATGTAGTCAGTGCAGTGCTGGAGGCCCCTGGGCCCAAAGTGGGGCGTCAATGTCCCACCAGGGTTCCTTGTCTCCTCCAATCCACCTCCTGAACAAAGGAGCCCAGCACGTCTTCAGTTCCCTGCCATGGGGATGCTGGGCTAACACTTACACACGCAAACACTTTCTGACAAGTGGGAGAATGTCTCAGAGACGTGATTTTGCTGGACAGCCTCCAGTTGTGGTTCTGCATGGCACCTCTTGGGCCATGGCTGGCATCTGTCTGCCATCCCAACAGGGCCCTGGGGTGGCCAAGAATAACAGGTTGGTCTCTCCAAAGAAGCCCAGCAGCACCTCCTGTCCCAGCTCAGCCCCATCCCCACCCCAACCCCACTGTGGATTCTTAGAGTAGAACCCAGGCAAGACAGGAAAGCTGCTACCCGGTGGCCAGGGCACTCTAAGAAGGCTGCTGTGAAGGGCCACTCCCCCTGCCCCCGCTTTTCTCTCGGCCTTAATGCTTTCTGTGGAGCTGCGAATAGCACATGTACACCCTCCTGCTGCCCTCATGCCAGCCACATTACAGCTGAGTGGTACCGGGGGTCTTCCTGGCAAAGTGGATAGAGTACTGCCCTTGGACTCAGGAAGACCCGAGTTCCAGTCCTGCCTCAGACACTAACTAGCTGTGTGGCCCTGAGTAAATGCCTTCACCCCTCTTAGCCCCAGTTTCCTCATCTCCTAGATGGAGATAACAATAGCAGGCCCTGCCTGCCAGGGTGGTAGAGGGCAGGCAGTGAGATAGCTTAGGGAAAGTACTTTGCAAACCTTAAGGGCTATGGAAAGGCTAGCCATGACGAGTTGGTGACCATTATTACAGTGGAATAATGAGCGCATCTCAGGTGGCCTGGATGAGCTGAGCTGATCTCCCGGGGTCCCTGCCCTTCTGACAGCCGCTGCCACCCTTCTGCTCTCACAGTAACATTCTCTACCTCCTCTCTAGTGGGGATTTGTGGGTGTTTCCAAGCCTCCACATCTTCCTGCAGCTGTCTGCCTGGAGCAGATGCTCATCCAGAGCATAGCACCTAGCCTAGGGAGATGCTGGATCCTGTTGTCTTCATTCAACCTCCCCCCCCCCACACACTCACAAGCTCTCACACATTTTCTGGGCTCCCTAGGCTCCTACCCTGCCCTTTGCTTGGGGAAGGGGAAGAGAGTCTGACAAATCCCTCTGGTTTGGACAGTGCAGTAGGCCTGGTTTTCACCACAATTGTCTGCATTAGCCACCCAGGGATGCAAAAGTTCTCTACTCAGAAGCAGAAAGCCGCTGTCACTAACTGACTGGATATCTCCTTTCTCTCCTTGAGTTTGTAGGAAGACCAATTTTCCTCCTTCCCCCTCCCTCCCCCCACCCATTTTACTCCAAACAAAAACACTGGAAGCTCTTGGCATCATTGGCTCCATCTGTATGGCAGCTTCAATGAGTTTAATTAGGGGTCGTCCCTGTTATCCAGACTGCCAGTGGCTATGTGACTCACGTGATCACCTAGGTCTCCAAACAGGTATTAGAGATGCCAGCATGGCCTGCTCTGGCCCTAGTGCTTAGAAAACCTGACAGTCTGGATAACAGGGACGACCCCTAATTAAACTCATTGAAGCTGCCATACAGATGGAGCCAATGATGCCAAGAGCTTCATTTGGCAGATCTCCCTGCAGACCAACTCCTTGAATATAGCAGCTAGGTGGCCCAGTAGACATAGAGCACTGGGCCTCAAGTCGGCCAGGCAAGAGTTCAAATGGAGCCTCGGGTATTTACTAGCTGGTGATGTTGGGCAAGTCATTTAACCTCTCCCTGCCTCAGGTTCCTCAACTGTAAAATGGGATAATGGGCAGCTAGGTATGGGGCTGGAGTCAGGAAGGCTCCCCTGTCTGAGTTCCCTTCTGCGCTCAGACACTCGCTAGCTGTGTGACCCTGGGCAAGTCACTTCACCCTGTTTGCCTCAATTTCCTCATCTGTCCAATGAGCTAGAGAAGGATATGGCAAGCCACTCCAATGTCTTCACCAAGACAATCCCAAAAGGGGTCATGGAGAGTTGGACATTACTGAAAAATGACTTAGTAACAACAATAAAATGGGAAAATAATATCCCCTCCTTCCCACCTCATGGTGAGCATCAAAGGAGATCATGTTTGCAATGTGCATGGCAAAGCTCAAAGCCCTGAAGAAAAGATAGCTATTCTTGTCACGATTACCATTGCCAAATCGATATTGTCCAGCAAAACAAATTCCCTCATTTGCTGGGTCTGAACACCTACGTCTCTTTCCACGTTGTGAGGCTATCACTTCTCAGTCGGGAGGTACATGCTGTGCTTCATTTTCATTCTTTTAGCCTCAAGGTTTCCCCGAGTTCTGGACCAGATCAGAGTTCTAAATTCCTTCAAAGGTGTTTTTCTTTCTAATATCGTCTGGCTGACTCCATTTCATTTTCGTTTCAGGTCCACATTCTCTCCCTCTCCCTTTGCCCTCACCACCCCCTCTCCAGGTTGAGAAAGAAGACAAAAAACCAAACCTGTTTCAAACTTGGGTAGTGAAGCAAAACAAATGCCCACGTTGGCCACGTCCAAAAAACCATTCTCAGTCTGCACTCAGAGTCTGTCGATCACCTCTGTGTCTGGAGGGGAGTAGCATGTTTCATCACAACTCCTCTGAAAGTGTTGTTGGCGAGCGTTTCTAAGTCTTTCAAAGTTATTTCTCTTTACGATGTTCTTGTTACTGTATCAATGGTTCTCCCGGTTCTGCTCGCTTCATTTGACATCAGCTCAGTCTTCCCAAGTTTCTCTGAAACCATCCCCTTGATCATTTCTTACAGCACTATAGTATTTCATCACCTTCCTATACCATGAGTTGTTCAGCCATTCCCCAGTTGATGGGCAGGCCCTCGATTTCCAATTCTTTGCCAGTATTAAAAATATATATTTGCTGCAACAAATATTTTGTAGGTATAGGTCCTTTACCTCTTTCCTGGTTCTCTTTGGGGTATAGATGTAGTAGTGACATCACTGGGGTATAGGGTATGCACAGTTTAATAGCTTTGGGGCTTAGTTCCAAATTGCTCTCCAGAATGGCTGGATCAGTCCTCAGCTCCACTTAGAGGGTATGAAAGAGCCCATTTCCCCACAGCCCATCCAGAATTTGTCATTTTTTCTTTTTTGTCATTTTAACCAGTCACGTGCATGTGAGGTCGTACCTCAGAGTTGTTTTACTTTGCATGTCTCTGGTTGTAAGTGATTCAGACCTTTTTTTTAATATGCTTAGTGATAGTTTGACTTTTTTCCTCTGAAAACTGCCTATTCATAACCTCAGACCATTCTCTATTGGGGATTGGCTCTTATTTTTATAAATTTCATACTATTCCCTGTGCATGTTAGAAAAAACACCTTTATCAGGGAAACTTGCTACAAAGATTCACACTACCCCCCAATGTCCTGCTTCTCTTACAATTTTATCTATCCCAGTTTCACTCGATTGTAAAGGGGAACCTGGAAGGCACTTCCTAACTGTCCCAAAGATCAAAGGAGCATGATTTACCAATGGTATTATATGGTGACCCAAAATCACCTGCTGGTCTTATGTGCTGAATTGGGGAAGCCATCGAGGCTCTGCTGTCAGGGCCATTTGGTATTACTATCTGTAAATTTGAGACAATGTCCAGAAGACCAGCAGAACACCAAAGCACTAATTACTTTAAGATGCCTCGACTTTCTAGTTTTAGGGACAACTTGGAGATGATTTGGATATGTTAATGACCTAACCTTAAGATGCCATAGATAAGAGTTAGTCTTTTCCCTCCACAACCCCTCTAAAAATGAGACCCCAAACTCCATCCTCCCAACCTAGTTCTCCTGAGGCTAATGTAAGATAGTCTCTCCCAACTTTACTATAGGAGTGATACTCTCTGCCTCTCCCCCTCCAACCCCTCTTCCCCATCACTGCCTTCCTTCCTTCACCACACCCGTTCCCTTGTCCCCAAGACATCTGCCCTTGTGCATACTTTTTTACTTGTCTCAATACTGTCTGTGTGCCTACACCGTCTGTACCTTATTAGAATATGATTGCTGCCCAGTTTCCCACTGCCATCATGGTCTTTTCCAGCAGGTCCCTAGAGAACCAGGCGTGCCTGCTTCCATGTCATAATTTCATAAATCAATTATCAGTTCACGCTCTTATCTCGTTTGGTCAGGAATTCTTCCTCCAGCCACTCATCTGATAGATGATTTCTCCAGTGCTCTTCTAATTTCTTTATGATGTTGTCCTTCAAAGCCAAACTACGTATCAATCTGGCACGGATCTTGTTATACAGGGTGAGGGGCTGGTCTGTACCTACTTTCTGCCAGCCTGTTTTCCAATTTTCCCATCGGTTTTTGTCAAATAATGAGTTCTTGCCCCAGTAGCTGGGATCTTTGCTTTCCTATGTTTCCTACCTAATCTGTTCTACTGATCAAGCTCTCTAATTCTGTCCCAGTACCAAAGTATTTGATTATTGCATCCTTACAGTATAGGTGGAGGTCTGGTCCTTCTACTTGCTCCTTTTTCCCCTCAGGAATTCACCTGACGTTCTTGACCTTTAGTTCCACCAGATGAATGTCATGATGATTTTTTTCCCCCTGGTTCTCTAAAGTAATCCTTTGGTAGTTGGACTCATATGTCAGTGAATCGGCAAACTAATTGAGTGAGAATTGTCAATTTTATCATACTGGCTCTGCCCATCCATTCATATTTTCCCAGTTGTTTTGATCTGTCTTTATTTGGGTAAAGGGTATTTTGTAGTTGTGTTCATCTATTTCCTGTGTCTGTCTTGACAAGGATACTCCCAAGTATTTTACACTTTCTGTAAATTGTTTGAAAATTATTATTTTATTTTTTCTGATTACACATATAAATAATTTTTAACATTCATTTTTTTTAAAATTTGTGTTCCCAATTCTCTCCCTCCCTCCTTCTCCTCCTCCCCTTTGCAGAAGGCAAGAAATTTTATACAGATTATACATATGCAGTCATGTAACACATAGTTCCATATTAGCCATGTTGAGAAAGAAAATGTGGAATAAGAAAACAACAAGAAAAATAAAGAAGGTACAAAAATGCTTCAAAATGCATTCATCAATTAATTCTTTCTCTGAAGGTTGATAGCATTTTTTCGTCCAACGTCCTTCAGAATTGATCATTATATTGCTGACAATAGCTAAGTCATTCACAATCGATCATTGTACAATACTGCTATTACTTTGTCTGGTGCTCTGTTTTTATTCACTTCTCTTTGCCTTAGTTTGTGTAAGTCATCCTAGGTTTTTCTGAATGCATCTTGCTCATCATTTCTTATAGCACAATAGTATTCCATCACAATCATATACCACATCCTGTTCAGCCATTCCCTAATTGATGAACATCTTCTCAATTTCAAAGTCTTTGCCATCATGAAAAGAACTGCTATAAATAATTTTGTACATATTGATTATTTTCCTTTCTTAAATCTCTTTAGGAGACAGACTTCATTGTGGTATTTCTGGTTTAAAGGTTAGGCAAAGTTTTATAACTCTTTGAGCATAATTCCAAAGTGCTTTACAGAATGGGTTCACAACAATCAGTTCAGGATGAGGTCACAACTCCACCAACAGTGTATTAGTGTCCCAATGTTTCCACAATCCCCTCTGACATTTATCATTTTTTTTTCTGTCATATCAGCCAACCTGAAAGGTACCTCAAGTTTGTTTTATTTGCATTTCTCTAATCAATAGTGATTGAGAGCATTTTATCATGTGAGTATAGATAGCTTTTTTTTTTCTTCTGAAAACTGCCTTTTCATATCCTTGAACCATTTGTCAATTGGGGAACGTCTCACATTCTTAGAGATTTGAGTCAGTTCTCTGTATATTTGACGAATTAGGACTTGATCAGAGAAATGTGATGTAAAAACTTTTTCTAAGTTTTCTGCTTTCCTTCTAATCTTGTCTGCATTTTTTGGATGCAAAATGCTTTTAATTTAATGTAATCACAATGATCCATTTTACATCCTATCATACTCTTTATCTCTCGTTTGGTCATAAGTTCCAGGGAGGTAGGATGGAAAGAAGGAAGGAAGGAGAAATGAAAGAAAAAAGAAAGAAGGAAAGAAAGAGATAAGGAAGAAAACGAAATAAAGAAGAAATAAGGAAGGAAGGAAAGAGAAAAGAAAGAACAAAGGAAGGAAGGAAGAAAAAAGATAAAAAAAGAAAGAAGGAAGGAAAGAGAAAAGAAAGAAGGAAGAAAAAAGAAATAAGAAATGAAGGAAAGAAAAAAGAGAAAAGGAAGCAAGGGAAGAGAAAACAAAAAAGAAGGAAGGAAAGAGAAATGAAAGAAGAAAGTAAGAAAGAAGCAAAGAAAAAAGAAAGAAGGAATGAGGGAAGGGAGAAAAGAAGAAGGAAAGGAAGAAAGAAGTAAAGAAAGAAAAAGAAAAAAGGAAGAAAGAGAAAAGAAAGCAATGGACATAAGTAAAGAAGAAAGCAGGAAGAAAAAAGAAGGAAAGATATAAAAGGAAGGAAAGGAAAAAAGAAAAAAGGAAAGAAACAAAAGAAAGGAGAAGGAAACAGAAAAGAACTAAAGAAGAAAGGAAAGAGAAAAGGAAGAAAAAAGGAAGAAGGCAGGAAGGGAGGGAGGGAGGGAGGGGCAGGAGAGAAGTCTCAGTCTCAGGCAGGACAGGCTTTCTCCCTGACCTCATTGGGGGAAGGGCTGGCCCCAGTTCTCTAACTTGGCCCAACAGGCCCCGCCCCCAGCGCGTGGCAGGCCCCGCCCCAGGGCCCTGGGAAACCCAGGCTTGGCCCCTTAAGGCCCCGCCCCCACCGTGAGGGAAAGCCCCGCCCCCTCCCCTGCAGGATCTGGGGGGGCGGGGGGCTCTCGCCCCTCTCTGCTGCCTGGAAGACTCGGGTCAGAACGAGGCTGCCGCGTCGTTATCCAGGCCGGAGGAAGAAGCGTCCGCCGGTACCCGAGTTCGGTAGGCCTCGCTCCACCCGCGCCACCCCCCTGCCACAGGCTGCGGCGACCCCGCCCCCTCTCGCTCTGCTTCTCTCTCTGGGCAGTCACCCCCCCCCACCCCGAGAAGGACCCGTGGGGCCTGGCTTCCGGCTTGGGGGGCCCGCCCCCTCCTCTGGTGCCCCCTCAATTTCCCCCCCCTTCGGAAAACCCCAGATTCCTGCGGCCTACCCTTCACGTGGCTGGCCTGAGGGACCCCCGACCTCCGAGGCGGGACTGTGTGGCTCCCTCCCCGACCTTGCCCCCTCCCGGCCTCAGTACAGATTAGTACATGGGGGTGAGGGGAGAATTATTCCAGCTCGGGGTGCCGGGATCGCTGCTGCCCCCGCCCCAGTCCCTTAGGCGTACTGGTGAAGCCTAGAGGCCCCCCCCCCGGGAACAGCTGCACCCAACAAGGTGGTTCAGGGGATGCATCACAAAGGAAAGCAACAGCTGCA